CCGCCCGCGGGGGGGCGGAGAACCCCGGGCCCCGCGCCCCCAGCCAGTGGCAGCCACAGGTGCCCTGCACGGCAGCACCCGGCCCCGCTGGAAGAGGCTCCAAGTATCACTCCTCCATCTCCCAAAGAAGACAGGCCCAGAGAGGGGGGCCTGAGTGTTCTGGGCTTTTGACAGATGAGTGGCAGAGCCGGGGGAGCCCAGCTGACAGCTCAGGCCTCCGTCTCTGTCCAGCGCCAGTTCCGCTGCCTGAAGCGACCTCAGCCGCTACGCCGCTCCTCCTGAGCTGCTCAACTTCGCACGTCCCTACTTCTGCCAACTCTCCGCTGTCGCGGCAGCCACCAACCTCAAGCCAGCAGTCCGCCACCAGCATTGAAGGAAAAGAGGGGCAAGGCAGGGTCAGTGCCTCTGTATTTCCAACCCACCCCAGTGGCTCTCATTGCACTCCTCCTTCCCCGCTCCACCTCCCTGCCCCAGATAACGGGAATACGCCTCCTGGGGTTGACAGTACCCCAGAAGCACCTCATTCATTCATGCATTTAGTTTCTGCGTACCTACTATGGCAGGGACCAGTGCCATGTCCCGAGAACACAGATAGAAATGGTATTCGACCTCAAGAAGTATTCAGTACAGCAGAAGACCCCAAACTGTGGGTTTCTCAAAGTACCCAAACTGTCTCAGCTGGCTCTCCTGCCATCTGAGAAAACCAATGGGACCCAAGCAAAGGTTCAGGGAAGAGACACCACTCCATCAGCACAGAGCCAGGCTCTCCAGAGCTCTCTCCAAATTCACCAGCCTCCATCCATAACCCGACACCAGCACTGTCCACACACCCAAGCGTTGGTGTGACCTTGAAATACATCTGAGATGCCAAGCAGGCCAAGAAATTTCTAGAAATAAAGCTAGATAGCGCTGTCTTTCATCAAATGCAAACATCAGCGATGAGGGCGCCAGCTCGGAAACCTCTATCGGGCAGTTATGCTCGTACAAATCGCCAGCCCTGCCAAGGAGCCCGACCCGGCTTCCACTGTCAGTTACACACCCATTCAAAGTTGGGCCAGGAGGAGCAGAAATGGCAGGATGGCTTACCAGGAGGACACGATAACAAGGCCCCTGTGACAACAGCGTCCTCGAGGGACAGGGTAGCTTAGTAAGGGGCAGCTTACCTCCTTGAGAAGCCCCACTTTTTTCTTCAGCACCTCGCACTTGCGTAGTTTGCAGATCTGGTGCGTACGGCGGTTGGTGCAGCTAGTGCAAGCCCCACAGTTTTCCAGCCGCCGGCAGGGCTCGCAAGTACCACACCGCTTCCGTTTCTTCCGCCCATCTCCACCAGCTCGGAGTTGGGGTTCACTCGCGGCCATGGGAAGCCCAGGCCCCTGGAAGCCCCCTACCATCACCTGGCCCTGAGGGAAGTCATAAAGGCCTGGCAGGTCGGGCTGGACCGCCAGGGGCACCTGAAACTGGCTCATGATGTTGCCAGAGGTAGGGGCATAGGTGCCAGGGCAAAACCACAGTCCAGCTTCGCGCAGCCTGCAAAAGCACCAGCAGATCCCTCTCTCCTACAGCAGACAAGCGTCTAGGAGGGCGAAGGCAAGTAGCTCCAGTCTCCGGACGGGCACCTCTTGTCAACCTCTCTTCACCTCCTCTGCAGCAGTCTGACAGGGCTCCAATGCGGGCCCCTCTCCCACCTGCTGGGGCCCAGGATCTGGGGGAGAACACCAGCAGCAGCCCCCCGGGAAGGGATCATCTTGGCTGGGTGAGTTCTTCACCCTCACCCACCCTGGACCCAGGCATGAGGTGAGCTGGCGGGTGTGTGCTGGGGGCAGGGCAGGGTGAGGAGATTCTCCTGGTATTTCTCCTCCTGGGTCAGGATGATGGAGAAGGCTGCGCTGTCTGAAAAAAGAGACAGAAAGGGGAGCGCATCACTCGGGGCGCGGGGACAACTTTCACGTGTTACCTCTTCCTGTTTCTGGAAAGACAGCAAATGGGGGACGAGAAGGGGCTTGCTCAAATGACGCCCTGTCCAGACCTCAGCACCCGCTTCCTGGCTGCGGGAGGCGGCCTCGGGCCTGACTGGGTGCTGCGGGCCTGGAGCACGAACTCAACCGGGTGGTCCGAGTGAGATCGCTAAGAAAGTTGCCCTCTGCCCCACCCCCACGACTTGAGCTAGCTCACCCCAATTCCCCTGCACAGACCTCACTGGAGGCTGCCGGGCCCTGCCCCGGGGAGCAGGGCGTTCAGAATAAAGTTTGCTGAGAGCCTCGCTCTGTCCGGCTGCCAGGGAGCCCCCGGCTCGGAGGTGGGATGGGGGTGGGGATGCACCCGGGGTAGCCCGCGCCGGCCGCCCCGCGGCG